GGTTCCTATACTGCCTTTTATAACATCTTCACATACCAACTCGACTCATTATATCTATTTCCAACACACACACACACACACACACACACACACACACACACACACACACACACAAACTAGAGAAACATCAACATTACTTCCATTGGTACACTTAATGAAATGTGTGCATCAATCCTAGAGACAAGGCTGCAGAGTTCTAGTTCCCTGGTCCTTCCATTCTGCTCTGCAGACACTTGGTCTTCTCCTAGCAACCAAGCCTACACTTCCTGTTAAGAGTGGAGAAAGTTTGTAAAGAACAATCCCAAACAGACATTCTGGACAAATGTAGACACCTTGAAAGAACCTGCTACGTAAGTATGACCTAACAAGGAACAAAATGCAGTATAAAGAAGCATCCCACAGTTTCGAAGAATAGAGCTTGCTGGAGAAGGAACCACACATTCTTTTAAAGAAGTGGATAAAGAGGAGGAAACAAGTCTATGTTTTAATGTGATCTGAGGAAACTGCATTTTTTGGGAAAAAAAGTAATTTTGAACTAGGAAAGAAATCCTTCAGATAAATCATCATTACCAAATTAAAAAATACAATAGAAGAACATAAGATACGACGAAAGTTACAATGATAGCTCAAAATATGCATCAAACATAACCAAAATTAGACAGGAAAGGAGAGCCGTCACCAACTGACAAGTGACGTGACAGAAACATGAAGACTAGATAAGAGAGAAAACTAGACGGAACAGTGTGTCAACAGAAAAGAGGCAGACTAGGGAAAGAAAGTAAGGAACTGAACTCCTCAAAACAGACAGAAGACTTAAATAATAACTCGTCAATACTATAACAAAGCAAATACCAATCAAATCTTACTAAATTTATTTTTCTTCAAAATACTGAATCTACAAGACAGCTAAAACACGTTCTCAAAAAGAGGGAAGAAAGCAATCAGGTTGGCATCACATTTTTGTTCCCTAATCTAAAGTCAAATTAAGAATAAAATATACACATATTTCAGAAGAAAAAACACTGAAATCCAATAATCCTACTAAATAGCCTATTTTCAGACAGAAAGGGCTCAGAATGCCACTTACATCCTCTTCCTAAGGAATGTTTCTGTCATCTGAAAATAAACCAAACATCTAAACAGTAAGAAGACAGAATTTCTAAGAAAAGGAAAAGAAAGAGCTATGGGTGAGCACACTGAGTGTGTGAAAAAGAAAGACAGAGCGATGATGGGTGAGCACACTGAGTGTAAGAGAGACAGAGCAATGATGGGTGAGCACACTGAGTGTGTGAAAAAGAAAGAGCAATGGGTGAGCACACTGAGTGTGTGAAAAAGAAAGACAGAGCGATGATGGGTGAGCACACTGAGTATAAGAGAGACAGAGCGATGGGTGAGCACACTGAGTGTGTGAAAAAGACAGAGGGATGGGTAGCACACTGAGTGTAAGAAGAGAGACAGAGCGATGGGTGAGCACACTGAGCAGAGACAGAACTAGGAACCTACAGCACACAGCACCTTCACTAACACACGGCTATTTCTTTCCACCCATGGGCTCCTGTGAAAACTCTGCTAAACAAGTATCAGTTCAAGGTCAAGGGCGTTGCTAGAGCACATGGCAGACCCGCTTTTAATTTAACTACTATACTGCTTGACATGGCACCATTTACATTCCCATCAGCAGTCAGGAAGGCTCCTATTTATAGTCAACATCTTTACTAACACTTGAGTCTCTTTGTTTTTATAATGGATTCTAAGGAGAGCAGGGTAGTCTCATTGTGGGTGATCGCCACTGTCCTAATGATTAGAGACACTCAGCATTTTTCCCTACACTCACTGTCCTCTGCTTGTCTTCTCAGAAGGAGGCCTACCCTAGGCTTTCCAGCCACCTTCCCAGGCTGTGCTCTGTGCTCTGGACACTGACCCTTTAATCTGGTGAGTGATTGAGGTATGCTCTCCCACTCTGTGGATAACCCTTTAATCTGGTGAGTGACTGAGGTATGCTCTCCCACTCTGTGGATAACCCTTTAATGTGGTGAATGATTTAGGGATGCTCTCCCACTCTGTGGATAACCCTTTAATCTGGTGAGTGATTTAGAGATGCTCTCCCACTCTGTGGATAACCCTTTAATCTGGTGAATGATTGAGATATGCTCTCCCACTCTGTGGATAACCCTTTTATCTGGTGAATGACTGAGGGATGCTCTCCCACTCTGTGGATAACCCTTTAATCTGGTGAATGACTGAGG